ACAATGGTATCGTGTTCATACAGTGCCTTCGGAGACACATTCACTCTCTCTAAAGCACTGGACAGGAAGAATATGAGAGGAGAACTACTACTGCAATCTGTTAGAGGAGAGAATGTGAGTAAATATATTCGGCCCCGAACCTGCATACACTTACACATGTTTAACTTTAGTAATGTGAGTAATCCCATTAATTTCAATGGGACTGCTTGCAGTAGAAAGTTAATCACCCGTATAAGTGTTTGCAGAATTGGTACCTTAGACTGTAATACCACTATTTATGTAATAGAATTCTCTCCTCATTTTAGAAGGGTGTCCACTCCACAAAAACACTCCCACTCCCCACCCAGGTTCTCTCTGGAGAAGCAAAAATCCAAGTACAAGTTTTCTCCTCTCTAATTCCTCCTGCCGTTCTATAGTTATGTTTTGCTTTCTATGCTTACTTTTAAAAGTTGTTGTTTATAAATGCAATGGTGCTGTTTTTCTTGAGTGATCCAAATCTCCCTGAAAGCCATTTTACTGAGTGCCAAAATAGATCCACACAAACATAACAGAAAAAGATCCTCCTATGACCGGGCTCCCCTGGCACTTTAACCACCTGGATTCAAAGTGCAACAACACAAGTTAGACAGTAAGGGTGTTATCATTTCAGACACTTGCCCTTGCTCCAATCCAAGGAGCATAAACAAAGACAAGGAGAAAGAAGTTGCCAGCGGCTTGAATGGAGGTCCCATATGAGCCACCAAAACAGTATTAAAAACCCACAAAGGAACCGTCTCTTTAACCAGTGGGTGGAGTTGAGTGACTCCTTTGAAGAACCTCATTTCCACTGAGTTTGAAAACACTGACTTCCCACGGATAGGTGGATGAAATGCCAAAATCGCTGCCAGGTGGACTTGCAATGAACTAAGTGCAAGACCAGAAGACTGAAGGTGTAACAGGTACTCCAAGATGTCCTGGATACAAGCCAGTGTTGGCTGAACTCCCCGGGCTAATGACCATACTGAGAGCAGCTTCTAGTTGGCCGAGTAGGGCACCCTGGTTGAGGGCTTCCAACTATTAAGCAAGAGCTGCCGGATTGCCACCGAACATCGTTCCTTTTCCTCATCTAATCATGCAGCACCCACAAAGAGATGCAGAGAGATGAGTGTTGGATGCAAAACTTGACTGTAATGCTGAGTCAGGAGGTCAGGATGAAGAGGCAGGAATATCGGAGGCTGAAACGATAATATGAGGAGGTTGGAGAATCAGCATTGTTTTGGCCACGCTGGAGCAATAAGAATGAGCTTGGCATGGTCCAATTTCAGCTTGAAAATGACCTGTGGGATGTCCGGAATTAGAGGAAAGGCACATAGGAATGCCGATTCCCAGCTCAGGTGAAAAGCATTGGTCAAGGAGTCCAGACTGAGGCGACTTCAGGAACAGAATAGATGTCATTTCTTGTTTGGCACAAGAGAAAACAAGTTGATCGTCAGAATACCCCACAGACAGACTGCAGGATGATGGGCTTCAGAGACAGCTTGTGAATCAACGAGAAATTCCTGCTGAGGTTATTCACCAATTGATTCTGGAACCCAGGTAAGTGATCAGCCATGGGGGATGTTTTGCCAGATGAAAAATGCCAGACACTGATTGCCTCCTGACAAAGCATTTTGGAATGTGCTCCCCTCACCTGTTCACGTAATACATCATGGTGGTATTGCCAGAGAGTATGAGAAATGCTGCACCCTTGATATGAACCTGACAGGTCTGACAGGCATTGTAGATGGGATGAAGCTCTAGAACATTAATATACAGAGAAGCTTCTCACTCTGACCACAGATCTTGAACTTTCAATGAGTCCAAATGTGCTCCCCAAACTATTAAGGAGGCATCGGGTGATTACAGTCCTGGTCAATGGTGGCCAAGTGAGAGGAACACCCTGGCACACCGTGTCAAGAACTGTCCACCACTGTAGAAACCCAGGATTGGTGGGAGGAGTCAGATCAGAGTACCCAAGGGATAGCGATTTGGACGATAGATCAACTTCAGCGACATCTGAAGAGGACACAGGTGCAGCCTGGCATATTGGACTACCTGGGTAAATATGGCCATACGGCCTAGCAACCTCAGGCATACTTGGGCTGTGGTTGAGGGTTGAGACTGCAGCTTAAGACATACGTGGTAGATCACCTGGAACTGCTCAGTCAGTAGAAATGCTCCTGACCTTGTCGAGTCTATCTGGGCCCCAATGAACTTGATTCTTCGAGTTGGAAGCAATACTGCCTTTCTGCTGTTTAGGATCAGACCTAGATGATTGAGTAGGCGTAGCGTGAAGTGAACATAAGAGAGGACTTCTTTGCTGGACTTGCCCCTCTGTAACCAATCATTCAGATACAGGAAGGTATGAATTCCCTTCTTCCTGAGATATGCTGTTACCACAATCACACACTTGATGAAAAGCAGAGAAACGGAAGAGATGCTGAAAGGCAGCATGATGTACTGGTAGGGCAGCCTGCCACGATGAATCTGAGAAACTTCCTGTGGCTCAGTGGAAATGAGTGTCCTGCAGGTCCAGGGCTGAAAACCAGTCACTGTGATTCAAGGCCAGGAGGCTAGTTATTACAGTGACCATACGGAATCTCATATATCTGATGTATTTGTTGAGATCACGGAAGTTGACGATAGGTTTCATCCCTCCCTTGGACTTGGGGACCAGGAAATACTGGGAGTAGAACCCCTGCCCTCAATGTTGCAGGGGGACCACTTCTGTGCCCCCTAAAACCAGTAAATAATGAACCTGCTCAAGGAGCAGTATCTCATGAGAGGGGGTCCCTGAAAAGGGACTGGGTAGGGAGGTGAAGAAGAGGGATGGAGAGGAACTTTATGGCATAACCTGATCTGAAGGTGCTTAGGACCCAGTTGACCATTGTAACTGAGTCCCAAACACTATGAAAAGCAGGCCAGCCTGTCCCTGAATGGAGGGCGGGGAGGGAACGGGACAGAGAGGGAGAGGTTACCACTGGATCACTGTCCTTGACACAAGCCAGAATGGGCACTTGTTAGATGCTGCAGAGGGAGAGGGGGCAGCTGGTTAACCAACAACCAGGCAGCCTTCTTCTTTGGGATCTATGACTCTTTCTGGAGTAGACCCGCTGCAGCAACATTACAAGCGGTATTGCTGCTCCTGATTCCCAGGAGGCCACTGGGCATTCAGGTAAGGCTCTGATGCTGGTAGGCACCGGGCCAAAAGCCCTCTCCCAACTGCGGAACAGATGCCAATCTCAGTACCAACAGTGATCCGAGGGCGATCTCTGGCACCTATCTGACGAGGATGGGGAGGATGACCTCAACCTGGATCTTGAGGAAGCCCAGAGGTGTTGTGGTAACAATGCGGGAGCCTGCCCCGAAGGGGAAAACCACCAATCAGAATAATCTAAATCCCAATAAGGAGACAGCATTGGTGCCAAAGGCGAATGGGGAATCGGCACCAGATGCACCGAATGTGAGACACTCCGTACAATACCAGGAGAGGCACTGGCAACAAGGCCGGTAACGACGTTGATGATGGGATTTGCCACCAAGACAATGACGTTGCCAAAGGATGCACCAGTGTTGAGGGAGCCTTTGGTCCAGAGCCTAGCCTCGACTCCATAGTCTGCGGCCGAGGCAGTGTGAGCTGCGGTGTTGATGGACCCAGCAGCTCTTTGACACGGCCAGAAGGTGCCAAGGGCAGAACAGAGGACAAGCTGGTAGAAGCCATAGCACCAGAGAACTCCTGAACCAATGGAGAGTCTGGAATCGAGAGGCAAAGCAGGTATGATGTCACCTGGTATGCTGCTGGCATGGAGATGGTCGGTAATGTTGCCATGTTGTTGGTACTGGACTCAACAGATGCCCCATGACCAGAACCGGAGTCGACGGGACAGGCCCTTGCTGTTCTCAGCATGGTACTGGTTAGCAGTTGGACAGACCTGCTCCATCCCACCTGCCAGAGTGAGTACAGTGCTGGTCAGCATTCCTCCTAGAAGGAGGAGTTGTTCCCCTGAGACCGGTAATTATCCCAACTCATTTTATGGGACCTCTTCCTTGCTGCACCAGAGGAGGGTAAACAATCTTTTCCTCTTGAGAGAAACACTAAAGCCCAAGCGTGGGGTGGCATCGCTTGTCACATCCGAAGGCGGCCGCTGATCAGATGAAGGTTTTGGTGCCAAAGGGGGCCTCCTGGCCTGCTTCAAAAGGTGCTGCTTCAACCACAAGTCTCTTGCCACCTGAGTCCTCTTTGTGAACGACTTGCAGATGGAGCACCTCTCTCTGTGTTCCTCACCAAGAAACAACAAGCACCTTGTGTGTGGGGAGTCTCAGCTGGGGATGGCCCCGCTACATAATGGACAATGCTTAAACCCTTGTTAGGACATCAAACGGCGTTAGCCAACTAATCTACTAACAATAAACTAATACTTAAACTAAGCCTATACAAGAAAAGTTCTCAGAAAACTGAAAGCGAAAGTGTGAGGTGAAGACAACACACAGAGCTCCGACTCTAGCCATGGGCAGTGACAAGAAACTGAGGGTGTCAGGGTAGCTCCACCTTTATATAACATGAGGAGGGGCTATGGCCACAGAACATTAGTGCCGCCCCTACGGATACTGCTAGGTTAAGTTCTCTGGTTCCAGTATGCGAGGCGCACACACCAGCATAGAATACACAGCTGCATCTACTCGAACAAGAATTAAACTTTCCCCAAAACATTTCTCTGTGCCAAAAGACCATGCATGGACAATTACTGGAGGCTACTTCTTTGAGAATGATAGAAAAGTTGAGGTGGGAAAAAATATCAAACTTATAGTGAAAATATGTTTATTATCTCAGCTATAGCGTTGCTCCTGTGATTACATAATTTATAATAAGAACCATTATAGCCAGGTCCCCACTGTAAATAAGCACTTGTTCTCAATGGATTTTATTTAGTAAAATAAAGTTTGACTGACATAATAAAACAACAGCATATTCTTGTTCTTACCATACAGGCTGTACTCCAGATATCAGCAGGTGTACTGTAACCTGCTCCTATTAAAACCTCTATGGATCTATACTGTCTTGTCTGGATGTCTTCAGTGAAGTGTTTATGCTAAAATGGAAAGAATGGCATTAATGGAAAAAAACTAACAATAAAAAGGTTTGTTCTCAACAATGAAGGCTAAATATTTAAAATAAGATTTTTATACTTACCACCCAGCAAGCATTTCCCAGATCAGCAATTTTAACTCTAATTTTATCTGCATTTCTTGGATCCAGGGGATTCACCAATAAGTCCGCAGCACGGGTTTTTGCTAGTACAAACAAGAAGTAGAACAGTTAGTACCCACGGCATGTTTTTTATTGTCTTTAAACAATATTAGTTTGACACTTCATCCAGTTTCTTAAAAACTTGGAGGCATCAAAATCATTAGCTGACAGTTATGAGAATTTAAAGTGACACTCAGGTTTCCTTACCTTACCTTAGATTATTAAAACATCTTACAGCCTGCATAATTTTGGAAGTTGAAAATTCACCCATTCCCATCCTGTACCACCAGTGAAACATTTTACTTATGATTTTAATCTTTCCCTAATATTTCACTCAAGATAGAAGATATCTAATATGTAACAGATACTTTATTAAGATACTGCTAACTTAAGCGTCCATTCACAAGTACAACTCTCTTTCCACAATAATAGTTTTGCTTTTTGCAGATTAAAAAAATAGTTTGCTTTGGAAGATGTAAAATTTACAAGAAAGATTCTCATACAGATTATAAATGGCTAGGTTCTATGTGCTAAGAACAAAATTATTAACTCTGTGGTCTATCAGTAGCTCAGATGTACTAGCATGTGGGGATTAGAGTTTGGAATTCATGTTTGGTGTTGCATTCTGGACCAACAAGAACTGAGATTCCTGTGAAGGAATTCTGCTTAGCCTTGGAAGGAACTGAGGAAAAAGTGCCTCACATCTTTGCAGTCAATCATTTGTTCAAATCATTAGCACTAGCAGGTTCCAGCAGGAGCCTCAAGCCGCCCTCCTGAGAAGACAGTCAGCACCCAGATTTTTGAGGGTGAGAAGGTAAAGACAATTACAGGAATCTTCTTTGAGAGGGAAAAATGACAAATCATAACTTGTAACTGTCATGGAAAAAATCATCAATCAAAATGTGTATATGGTTTTCGTCTACTGCAAACAAATTACAAACCTGCAGGGGTCAGGAAGTGATTCCCCTCTTCCCCCATGTATTCTGTAAGGGTGGTGGTTTTGGGGCTTTTTTAAATCTCCCTCCTCTGAACCATCAGGGATGGCCACACCTGGAGATGGGATATTGGACAGGGAGGGCCAGAGCTCTGAGCATTCTCTCTTTCAGGCTGGCTGGCTCTTGCTTACATGCTCAGGGTCTAACTGATCGCCATATATGAATACTGACTGAAGAGATCTGTGAGCTAGCCATTAGCGATTATCTTTGAGAACTTGTAGAGGATGGGACAGATCCTTGAGGACTGGAAAAGGGCAAATACAGTACCTAGCTATAAAAGGGGGAATAGGGACAACCCAGGGAATTTTAGACCAGTCAGCTTAACTTCAATATCCGGAAAGATAATGGAGAAAATAATCAATTTGTAACACCTAAAAGACAATAAGGTGATAAGTAACAGTCAACATGGATTTGTCAAGAACAAATCATGTCAAATGAACCTAATATCCTTCTTGGAAAGGGTGACAAGCCTTGTGGATGGGGGGAAGCAGTAGATATGATGTATCTCAATTTTAGTAAGGTTTGTGACACTGTATCACATGACCTCATAAACTAACGAGAGCAATATAGCCTAGAAGAAGCTACTATAAGTTGGGTGCACAACTGGCTGTAAAAGCATACCAGGAGATTAGTTATCAGTGGTTCACAATCAAGCTGATAGGGCATAGCAAGTGGGGTCCTGCAGGGATATATCCTGAGTCCAGTTCTATTCAATATCTTCATAAATGATTTGGATAATGGCATAGAGTACACTTATAAAGTTTGTGGATGATACCCAACTGGGAGGGGCTGGAAGCATTTTGGAGGATGGAATTAGAATTCAAAATGATCTTGACAAACTGGAGAAATGGTCTAGAATAAATAGGATGAAATTCAATAAGGGCAAATGCAAATTATTATACTTAGGAAGGAATAATCAACTGCATAAATACAAAATGGGAAATGACTGCCTAGGAAGGAGTATTCCAAAAAGGGACCTGGGGATTATAGCTGATCACAAACTAAATATGAGTCAACAATGTAAGACATTCGCAAAAAAAGCAAACATTATTTGGGAATATATTAACAGGAGTTTTGTCAGCAAGACACCAGAAGTAAATCTTCCACTCTACTCAGCACTGATAAGGCCTCATTCGGAAAGATGTGGACAAACTGGTGAAAGTCCAGAAGACAGCAATTAAAATGATTAAAGGTCAGAAAACATGACCTATGAGGAAAGACTGGAAAAATTGGGTTTGTGTAGTCTGGAGAAGAGAAGACGGGGGTGGGGGTTGGGGGGGGGTATGATAAGTCTTCAAATATTTACAAGGTTTTTATAATGATACAGGTGATACAGATACAGACAAACATCATCTTCCTTTCCAAATGCAAGCAGATGGACATCATACCAAAAGGACTAAAGGTAAAAAATCCATTACAATCTACATATCACACAGACTATGCTGAGAGACTGTGTCACACACTCTCAAAGAAACTGCAAAACCACCTGATCAGCATCCTATACAGCAAACAGGGAAAGATTAAGAATGAGCTCTCAGAACTGGATACTCTCATAAGAAACCAACCTTCCACACAAACTTCCTCATGGATAGACTTTACAAAAACTAGACAAGCCATTTACAAGACAAACTTTGCCTCTTTACAAAGGAAAC